CCTCGATTGCCCTACGCCGCTGATAGGGCTCACGTAGCCTTTTTGACATGATATGTCGAATTTTGGAAGGTTTCATCATGGCACGCATCTCCCCAAAGGATGTTATTCGATATTTGTTTAACTCATGAAATAGAGTTATCAGAGCGTTGAAATGTGTTTGGGTTTGAAAGTAGCTCAAACCGTCAAGACTGTCGGCTTATGTATGCGTTTCCAAACAAAGTTAAGTGCTGCATCGCCATAGAACTAATGCAGTATCTCGTTACATGAGATGTCAACGAGAGTTGAGATAGGTTGGTACCTTGCAGTTGATGAGCTTGGTGAAGGAGGTTCCTGAGATGGTGATGGGGGGGGAGGGTTCCTTTTACCGAACATGTGCCGAAAGAGTTACCCCACATCGACCCAAGAAGTTCAGCGCACCGACTTTTAGAAATAGCACGTCTCGATAAAAACGCAGTCTTCACACGCTACCCAATCCAAAATCAGCATCGACGTCTCAAATCGCCTGTTTTTGTGCACAATTTGGCCCTCTTTGAAGCTCCTGCCATTGGGATAGCTCCAGATTCATCAGCTGTACCCCTGCCTGTTGTACAGGCTCCTTTTCCCCAGCTTTCAATACCAACCACGTTTAGGCATGACCCCTCGGTAGCCTTGTTCACCTTGCCCGTTTATTTTCTATCATAACTATGCTGGATGCTGTGTATCTGAGGCTGCCGGAGTTATAGCAGCATCGTCCATACTTGGAATACCTCTCAACATAGTGTTTTTCACAACCTGAATCTTTGATCATGGAAGCTCAGGTGAGTTGATGCGTTGTTCTTCCATCATCTTCCTTCGTCTTTGTCCCATGACGCTCGCTGGGGTGCTCTCGTGCCCCGCCATTTCAGCCGTCACTCTTGGATGGCCAAGCCGCATCGGCCCAATGTCCACACTTTCAAGGCCTGACCCGACGGAATGGTTGTTATCTGGAGCTTATGAATACATGATATCGTCTCTTTGCTAACTCTGATCCCAATGGCTCAGGTCGAGAATGCCGTCGGGATTCTCTCAAACCCCACCTCCGATCAATCTCTCAAGGAGCAAGCTTTCGAATACCTAAACCAACTACGAAACGATCCCTCAGGATGGCAAGCTTGCACCACACTCTTCGCTCGAACCCCTCAAACGTCAGAAGTCGTGCGCATGGTCTGCCTCGAAGTGGTCAACTATGCGGTGCACACTCAAGGTCTCGACCAGGCAAGCCTGGCTTTCCTCAAAGACACCCTTCTCCAATACTGCCGCCAAACATACGGTCCTAATGCACAACAAGAAGCCGACCCTTATCACCTTCAGAACAAGCTCACACAAACATTGACGTACTTGTTTGTCTTTCTTTACCAAGATGGATGGCAGAGCTTCCTCGACGACCAACTTGAGTTGACCGGTCTCTCCACAAATACCGACAACGTCCCGGGCGTCGTTTTTTATCTTCGAACTCTGGGATCCATCCATGACGAGATTGCAGATATGCTTCTGTCACGGCAGAGCAACGAGACCAAGCGAAATACCGAGCTCAAGGACCAGCTCCGAGCTCAGGATATGCACAAGGTGTCTGAGTCGTGGAAGCAGCTCCTAACACGATACTCGAACAACGATACCGTCGTAGAACTTGTTCTCAAAGTCCTGGGCAAGTGGGTTAGCTGGATGGACATCTCCTTGGTTATTAGCCAGGACATGCTCGGGCTGCTGCTGCCGGTAGTCGGCCGACCAAGCACTGATGTGCAAGACAAGGTCCGCGACACCGCCATTGATACCTTGAATGAGATATGCGGCAAGAAGATGCGTTCGGCAGACAAGATGGAGATGATCTCCTTCATTAACCTCAGGGAGATTGTTGAACAATTAGTTGCTAGCCCCCCTTTGAGCGAGTACAAGGGAACCTCTCGTTACGATACGGACCTGGCCGAAGCAGTTGCCAAGTTAGTTAACACCGTACTCTCCGATATCGTACGGGCCCTCGAGGACAGCCAGATCAGTGATGACACTCGCGCTAGAGCTAATCAACACCTCCAAGGGTTCCTCCCTTTCCTTCTGCGCTTCTTCTCTGACGAATATGATGAGGTCTGCTCGTCTGTCATTCCCGCCCTGACAGACCTGCTCACTTTCCTCCGTAAACTCACTGTTGTTCACCAAGACTACGGCGGTATGCTTGCGCCAATTCTAGATGCCATCATCCACAAAATGAGATACGATGAGACTACCACCTGGGGTGATGAAGATGAGCTCACCGATGAAGCTGAATTTCAAGAGCTACGTCGCAAGCTACAAAATCTGCAAAAGTCAATTGCAGCCATTGACCAGCCTTTGTACATGGATATGCTCAGCAACTTGGTTGCCACCACTTTTCAAACCCTTGACCAGCAGGGCTCTCAAATGGACTGGCGAGATCTGGATCTTGCATTGTATGAGATGTACCTCTTTGGCGAGCTCGCACTTCCCAACCAAGGACTTGGCACCAAGAACCAGCCCTCTACTGAGGCCTCGGAGAGGCTAGTGGTCATGATGCAGAAGATGGTTGAATCTGGTGAGTGCTTCAGTAAAACAGCTACAGTGTGATGATGCTAACCAACTAGGTATTGCCAACTTCTCTCATCCCGCCATCCTTCTGCAGTACATGGAGATTTGTGTGAGGTATTGCGTTGTTTTCGAGAACCATCTCTCGCAGTATATCCCTCAAGTTCTAGAGAACTTTGTGCGATTGGTTCACCATGACCACGTTCGGATAAAGACACGATCGTGGTACTTGTTCCACCGCTTCATCAAGCAGTTGCGTGCTCAGGTCGGCAATGTTGCGGAGACAGTCATCCAGTCGATCGGAGATCTCTTGCCTATCAAGGCCGAGGTCCCTGGTGATGATGCCGACGATGATATGTCATCAGATGAATCTGACCACTCCGCGGATGCTCTCTTTACGAGCCAACTGTACCTTTTCGAAGCCATTGGCTGTATTTCCTCAACCCAAAGTACACCTGCTGATAAGCAGGCCCTGTACGCCCGATCTGTTATGGACCCCCTGTTTACCGACATGGAAGGACATCTCCCACGAGCCAAGTCTGGAGACGCGCAGGCCACCCTTCAAGTCCATCACATTGTTATGGCCTTGGGTACATTGGCCCACGGGTTCTCTGACTGGACTCCAGGCATCACTTCCGCCAATGCACATGGACCTCCTGACAAGGCTGTCTCCGATGAGTTTTCTCGCGCAGCCGAAGCCATTCTCATTGCCCTCAACCAGCTGAACTCGTCTTCTGAGATCCGAACTGCTTGCCGGTCAGCCTTTTCTAAGCTGTTAGGGGTCCTTGGTGCTGCTGTGCTGCCCCAGTTGCCCCAGTGGATTGAAGGACTGCTGTCCCAGAGTTCGTCTAAGGACGAGATGGCCATGTTTCTTCGTCTACTGGATCAGGTGGTGTTTGGTTTCAAGGCTGAAATTTACGAAGTCTTGAACATGCTTTTGACGCCTTTGCTTCAACGTATCTTCGGTGGGCTTACGGAACCCATTGCTGGTACCGATGATGAGATCCAGTTGGCTGAGCTGAGGAGGGAATACCTCTCCTTTCTCCAGATTATTCTGAACAATGGATTGGATGGTGTTCTCGTCAGTGAATCTAATCAGGGCTTCTTTGAGCCTATGATTTCCTCCATCATTGAGCTCGCCAAGACTCTTGAGGGCAACATCGGCGGTAGCCGTCTGGCTTTCACTCTGATGACAAGAATGGCAGCTATATGGGGAGGACCTGACGTTGCCACTATTTCTCAGAACCCAACGGCTCCCTCTGGTAGCCCCAACCCTGCATTCCCTGGCTTTGACCATTTCATGATTCAAAGGTTCCACTCGACTTGCTGGGAGGTTATGAAGAACCCCAGCTTCCGGCCTTACCAGGACGCTCAGACTAAGCAAATTCTTACAGAGATTGCAGGTCTAGAGCAGACCATTTACACCAAGACAGGCGAGTCTTTTATCCAGGAACTCCAAAACAACATCTTCCCTAGCCTTGGGGTCAACGGTGATGACTTTTTACGATCTCTTACGACGTCGACGGACAAGAGGCAGTTTGCTTCATACCTGCACAACCTGCTCAAGTCCCGACAGTAGATACTGAAGGAAAACATACGATTGTTATTTAAAAGGGGATGTCATGTCTGGAAAGCATGCATGGTGAGGTTGAAATTATGATGATGACAATTGGAGACAAGGGCGGATGTGTGTATGGATGGATGGATGGGAGCCTCACGGCGCATGTTCAGGGAGTTTTGCGGACAAACATATTAGAGCTAAAAAGAATCGTCTTCTTTGTCATTCGCAATCAAAACAAATATTCCCCCTTTTTTTTAGTTATTTCATTTGGGCGGCCGGGTCTTATGGAATGCGGAGAGCTGTTGGGTGGAGGACAGGGGCGTAGAGAGGCTTGGACAAGGATGAAAATAAATACACTTCTACATAAGCACATGACATGTTTTTTTCTGGTTGATTAGTTCGTCGTGATGATATTGTTTGAATTTCCTCAGAATAGCGCGACTCTTGGCTGATAGTAATAAAAGTGTTCATCTGATAAAGGAACCCCTGACTTGAGGTACGCCGTCTAAAGTGGACTAAAGTGGACTAAAGTATGACGAGAATGTCCTGATCTGATTAACTTTGGTGTTTCCGTTTCTGCTCTTCTCAGTCGTCACTCCTTCACAAGGTAACGAGGTGAGTAGCGCTTTCTGTCTGGCAACTTGCATCTATCAAAGCGGCAAGTCCCTACAGTAGAGTGTCACCTACTAAAGGTACGCCTAAGGGGAATATGCCTCCCCCTCTTGATTCCCGGCCATCTTCTTGCATCATCAGCTTCACAGATACTCCTATCGTCATTTGATTCCATCAATTCGATCGATTCTATCACACACTCGCTATTGTCTTTCTTTAACAACATCTTCACCGTTGCAAGTTTAGAGTAACACACTTCAATTTCCCCTTCTTCATGATGGCAAACACTTCCGCGGTGGCATTGAATTCGCTTTCTATTTACTCTAAAGGTCTTCCAGCGTTTGCTGAGCAATCCACATGCGCCAACCCGTATTGGCCCATAAGTTCAAATCTCTTGCCACAGATGTCGTCCTCGGCTCGACCGCCCAACGAGGGAAACTCCGAAGGAATTGTCCAAGATGAAATTCAGGCCCTTGTTGAACGTATCGACGACAGCATCTTCGAATGGCATTCAGACGATGGCTCGAACCATACCATCGATACTGAAGAAGTCATATATGTCCCAAATGCGCCTGATATCCTCGCCGGGGAAAATACGGAGGTCAATGCGCTGTTCTCTGGGACACAACCAACAACTCCCTGCTCAAAAGAAATGGATGGTCTGGCTTTCCACCTACTGAGAGTGCGTGACAGTTTTACGGCCATCTCATATTGCCTACGCAATATGATGTGGACAATCGACAGGAACAACAACGTGGAAGAAAGCGATAGCAGCAGCTATACTTCCGGCGAGTCATTTGAGTCCAATGGTACCGGAGGTGGCCCATATCAGCAAACGGGACAAGACGGAGTCAATCCGTTAACTGAAAGCCGATATATCATCTTGATCAAGGCCATGCTGATCGATGAACGACATCTCCCCTTAGCTTGGCCCCATTAAACGTCTTCCACGCAGACGTCTTCCACCTCTTTCTTGCCCTCTTCCTCTTTTGCCTCTGCCTAGGCATGATCTGTTATACAGCAGCCATCATGCTTCCTGCACCGCCTCTCAGGCAGCGAGCACCTATCGCCACTTAGTGCTTTCATGAGAAACACCAGGTCTGGAGCTTGAGCGACACACAGAAGGATTTGAAGAGACAGATCGAGGGATGCAAAGACAGAAGTGAAACGTCAAAAAGCAAAAGGGTTCTACTTGGCTTAATCTGTTCTCTTCGGCAGCAAACAGTTTTAGTCCGAACAGCGATACGTTTTACGTAGCGATATACTGAAACAATTGATAGTGTTGACTAGGAAGCATATTCAGAGTACAACCAGCTCCTGAATACTATTATCCAGAATTCTTGAGTAGGCAAAGTAGGATTCTCACCATCCAGGTCGAAGTTTGTGACTAGATTATGCTTAAATTAATCCCCTGTGTCCTAGAACTGACAAGATTGTGTTAAAAGTCTATGAGATAGTGTATGATGAGTGTTTGCACGAGGTACACAAAGTAAATAATTCAGAGTGTTTGTATCGCAAAGAAGAGAAGAGTTATAGGCGCAGTACCACTCCATGGAACACAGTATAAACGGCTGAAAAAAGAGCAACATAGGCCATTGGTAGTTTTCTCCGTTCAAAGGCCCTATTGGATATTGTCTGAGCCCCAAAAGGCTCATCAAATAATGTACCCTCCCCCAGTCAAGCAGCGCCAATCCCGAACACCAGTCCCCTCTTCAAGTTCCACACACCACCAAAGCACCTCCTTTGCTTTATCGGGCTGGCCACTCTCTTCGTAGGCGCGGCCCAGTGTGAACCACGCCTCAGATGAGTTCCAGCCGGAACCAAGCTTGGTGAGTGTCGAAAGGAGGGCATACGCACGATCACGAGCCGCAAGACGGTCGACAAGTGGTAGACGGGTGGCCTTATACGCAGCAGGAAGTTCGTCGTCGTCCATGGGTTCCCTGGGAGTAAATTGTGTTTCTGGTGAAGGGCCTAGGCCGAGGGGTGTCGAAGGCAGGGGAGAGACTGCATGGCTGCTCGAATTTGGCTTTGAGCTATTTCCTATGTTGAGGTTAAGCAAAGCATCCTCCAGAGGCGGAATCGGAGGTGGCGGGAGGAGATCTTCACTGTAAATATCGAGCAGGATGTTAGAAAGGCCGATAATTGCAGTGGGATGATTTGGCGTATGTGTGAGGGCGGTTTCAAAGTCGTTGCGAGCTAGATAGGGGGCTCCTTTCGACAGAGACAGTTGACCAAGCTATGAGGAATATTAATACACATCACATGTCCTACAGGGAGGGGGCTGTATCTTACCTCTGCGTATAGATCACTCCATAGATCCTCTACAGTCTTCTTTTCGGCCCAGCTGGGAGGCCTGAGGGCACCTGAACCAGAGGGATCCCTAGCCAAGTCGGCCTCGAGGCTCTGAATAAGTCGCTGCGCTTCTGTGATAGCTCCCTTGGCATCCTCTCTCATACCTGCTCTGCGGTAGAACCCAGCAACCATGAGCCAGACTCTTATCAGGAGGACCACTCGTTGAGCCCTCTCCTTATCCTTGGGGAAATGGACCAGCGGCAAGATGCAAGTGGATGCGTAAGCGTTGTCAACTGATAGCTCAGAGTAGTCGGTTGACTTCGTTTGCGTTGAGAGATACGAGTTGAGGTGTCCTATAGGCCGCCTTGAGAAAGATGAGCCTCTCGTTGCGGAGTGTCGTTTACTTGAGTAAGTAAAGAAGTCCGATTGCTGCTCGGTTTCTTCAACCTCGCCGTTTGGACCAGCTGGTGTGAAAAAGACATCTCCATCGACAACTGTAGGTCCATGGGCAGACGAGATAGCCCCGATGCTAGAGGATCGCTGTCGGCTATGGCTCCGATCACGCTTCTTCAGGCTGTTACTTCTACCCGTAGCACTTCTATTGCGACGCACTGAAGATGCTGATGTCCTTGGCCGCGACTCTGCCAGGGATCCGTTATCTCCCGTAACCTGAATCGTCGGCGCACTGCTGCGCATGGTCGCTGCAGTTTGAGGTCTGGGGTTCCTGTCGCCCGCGGCAGTGTAGACCTGCCTCGTAGGTGGTCTGGATCGATCATTGCCGCCAAAGATGGTTCCCCTAATGCTCCTAAGCGTGCCAGAAGTTTTGGGTGGCTCCACGGCCTTGGGAGGGTTTAGAGTGGGTTGGGCTGCAACGTTGCCGAACAGTCTCGAGAAGAGAGTCAGCAATTCGAAGCTGGCATTTACAGCCACGTCTGGGCCTTCAAGTAGCTCGACCAATGCAAGTTGTGTCATCTTCACCTCCAGGATGCTCTCCTTTTCACTATCATCCATATCGTCGACGAGGCCATGTTTGTCTTCTGCAGTATCTTTTTCCGCCTCGTTGAGGTGCTCGCTTCTATAGGCTTGGTCGGCCTTACCAAACAGAACTGTAGTATCTTTAAACTGTTCCAAGGCACCCTCGCAAGCCCTCGCGGCCATGCTATAATCTTGCCTAGCACTGAGCAGGAGAGCGAGCAGATGCCAAACAGGAATAAGAGAACGCTCTTGCCAATATGGCCCATATACCAGATCGTAGTTCTCTTCCTGATCCTTGCTTGCTGTCAAGGCAGTTCTGACTGTCTCAATCGCAGCAGTCAACTCTCTTCGCTCAGCCAATAGAAGGCCAAGAGCATAAAAGCTCCTAATATCCTTTGAGCGCCCAAGCTCAGCTGCGAGAGACTTTCTCAGACAGCGAATAGCTTTTTGTTGAATTTCGGTTCTAGCCGAGGCTTCATATGTGATTCTTGACCAATGAGCCTGGGACAGGCCAATAGCTTGCCATGCAAGGGCAATAGTATGCGGTGCCACGGGCGGATGTGAAGCGCTAAGCTCATTGTGTTCCGAAATTACAGGCGTGGGGTTATCTTGCGAGGTGATCTGCGGTAACTTTGCCAACCAGTCTTCGAGCTCGGATCCAAGCTGGTGCGCTTTTTCCGCTGCAGATCGTTGGCCATATCGACAGAGAGCCAAAATACACTGCGAGATTGTTTCGAGGACAGTCGCATCGTCGTCCAGACTAGGCTCAACAAGTCCGGTTTTGTCAACACGAGCCTTGCCCTTTTTGACAATCTCAAGGTAGGAGTCGAAGGCCTTGAAAGCGAGGTCGAATTCGGCAACCGAAAGGTGAACGAGGAAGAGAGACCGAAGGATAGATGTTGAATGGTACGTCTTCATAGCCGCACTGTAAAGAATATCAAGAACTCCACGGCTCAGGCTGCTTCGCCCACCCTGACCAAGGTCCTTTTCACTCCATCCTCGTCCACAGAGGATGGACCAGTTTCGTAGTACCTGATTGACAAACGCTTCGACTTCCTCACGCTCCTCATCGGCTCTGGGGAAGGATGTCTCGCCTAGCAAAAGTGTCTGGTACGTAGCCTCGGCATGCTTAAGCTCAATGCGCAGCTGATTCCGAGGTGAAAGGTCGCCCGCTGTGTTGCTCACAAACCCGGTAGGAAAAGGTTGATCGGTATCAACAATGGATGAGAGGGCAAAGTAGTACTCTCTCCATACCGTTCTTCGAGGTACAGAACCCTTGAAGCCGTATCCTCCTGTGACAGGGGTAGACATAGTATCCCAGAATCGTGCCCACGCTCGATAGCCCGCCATAGAATCAGCGTCGACCTGTGTGATTTCGTTGCTTCGGTATGCTTCGCCTGAGAGCATGCAATATTCTGTGAGGAACAGCTCTGACCAGTAGCGAAGCTGTCTTCCCATGCCCTGTTCTGCCCAAACTCGTCCGAGTGATGGAAGACCAGCTCGGTAGGCAGAGAGTGCCTGCTTCAACTCGCCGCTGCGCGCAAGGCAGTTAGCTTTGAGATACGCAGCTTTGAGTGAGCAAACACTCGTCCATTCGGCGCTTCTGTCGGCTGGGTTGATCTCGCCTTCCTCCAAGTTGTTCTCGGGTAGTCGACTGACACAGAGATTATAGTCTCCTAATGTCCAGTGCAACCAACCCGCGCATACTTCAGCCTGGAATCGGTCGTTCTCGTGGGCGGCTTCCTCGTCAATTGCCGCTTCGAGCTTTGGTAGTTGATCTGTAACATTGACATCGCCTGTGTTTACAGCAGTTGTTGGCCGGCCCTCGGTGTTAGTGTGAGCTGCAGCTCCCGTCGTTTTGGCAATGGCGCATTCGGTTTCGGCTGTCAAAGCGAGACCTAATTGAACAGTATTAGCTTTGTGGCCGCCACGAAGCTATTCGGAGAATGACGTACAAGCTCTGTCGGGAGCATGCTTGCGGACTTTGCGAACAAGCTCCGGGACCAGGTCCCAGTTGCCGTCGCAGCGGGCATGGTCCAGCTGATTAATGTATTGCACGGCCTTGGGCTATAGAGCAGCAGCGATACAGAGTCAGCTTCGTCAGGCATAATCGGCGAGGGCGTTTTGTTTCGTCTTACACCCATGGTTCGTTGGAAACCTATTTCAGGGTTTCAGGAGATCGGTCTCGGACTTAGACTACCTAGCAAATAGATGGCGCCAAGTGCATAGCGAGGAAGATTGGATTGCTAAATAGATTTGAATCCTCTGATGAGGGGCTTAGGAGAGTTACAATATCGAATATAACGGTCACAAAAGTCAATCGTGATGTTTCAGAGGCCGCCTGAGGTGAATGGTATGTATAATTGCGGTCTCTGGACTTTCCAGGTGGTCAAGGTCGTATTTGCTGGAGATGAGAGCTGCTGGGACGACGTAACTCAGCTCATAAGCCAATCAGTGCCGTTTAATACAGCACGGTTGGATCCACTGTCAGGGGTCTTCCCGTCAGTCAAGCTAACCCACCTTTGGTATGCTTGTTGCTAGGGACCTAGTCTACTGGACTGGGAGCAGAAAAAAAGTTTCAATGGAGTCTTTCTTGATGAATTTACAGCTTCATCATAATTCCAGGTTATAAGCCGAGATTTCCAGTTGAGCTACTTAATTGGATACGGAATC